CCCCGCCCACCGAGTCTCCGCCCCCTCGGCCCCGCCCAGCGCCAGCCCCGCCCGCCTGGTGCGCGGTAGGGGGCTCCCAGCCAGCGAGTCCCCGGCTGGCCGGTGTCCCAGCCCCTCACTCCGCACCAGCATCGGGGGTCCAGCCCCCTCCCACCGGAAAGAGAACCTCGGAATCGGGGCTTCCCCACCCCGAGAGGGGAACCCCGGAGTCCGGGCACTAGCTCTGTACCCCGTCCCGGGGCCCTAGCGGGGACACGGCAGGGCCCCTGCACCCGAGCCCCCTCTAGAGGTGGAGACCCAGACGACAGTGCCCTCTCCAGACACAAATCCAGGCGTTCCAGACCCTCCTTTTCCAGGGGAGAACTTCAGGGTGTCAGCTCACCCTCTCCCCCCGGACAAGGAGGGAACCCCACACCCAAGCTCACCCTCCCTTATAAGGCCAGGATTTGGCATCCGGGCCTCTCAGGGACCGGGACACAGGTATCCAAAGATCTTCAGAGATCAGGATCCTGGGGTCTTCAATTCGCCCCCACCAAGGGCTGCAGGGACCGGCACCCTGACATTCGAGCTCCCCATTAGCTCGTCAATGGGAACTCAGGGGTCGTAGCGCCCCCCCACAGAGAACGGGGACCCAGGTGTCCGAGCCAGGCCTGCCCCACTCTGATAGGAGATCCCACATCTCTCTCCCCCAAGGCCCTTCAGCAGCCTGGCGTGGGGGTCTCCAAGCACTTAAACGCTCCTGGGAGCCCCCAATACAATGAAGGAAAACGGGGAAGGAGTCTTAGGAGAGGCAGGTAGGCAGGGGCTCGCAGAGAGCATGGAGCTGCCTCTGGTTGGACAGATGGGGAAACTGAGGCATACACTGCTGAACAGTCGTGTGCACTGGCTGATGGGAACACTCTTAAACTCGCTCCTGATAACCATGGTTAACAAGCAGGGATCACTGTGTTCTGTTAATCCTTTCTTTCACAGCTAGGTTCTGAGCTGGGCTCTGTTACTAAACCTATTTTACAGCTAGGGAAACTGAGGCATGGAGAGACTAGAGAGCTTGGTGATGATGTTCTCTCGGCCAATAATGTTTCCCTGTTTATCCCCAGAGAGACTTGTTAGGCTGTCAGAGTAGAGATTCAAGCGCCGATCACGCTCCCATCTAACACTACTTCCTGGCTGTGTGGCCCAGGCAGGTGCACTCATACTATGCAATTTATTTATGATCACACACACTCTGATCCTGTCCGAGTTAAGAGCCTGATGGCTGGGGTTCAACCGCAGCTCTGCCACTGACTGCTGTGTGACCCTGGGCAAGTGACTTCAGCTCTCTGGGCCTCAGTTTTCTCCCCGGTAACATGAGGATAATTTAATCCTAGTACACGCCTCATAGTATGGTTGTGAGCATTGAATAAGTGCATCCAGCGGTTCTCAAAGTGTGACCTAGGGGTCTCAGGGTGTCTGCTAGGTCAAATTTTCATACTGAAATATTTTCTGCCTTTTTTATTTCACTTGCCCCTGAGTGTCCAGTGGAGTTTTCCAGAAGCTGCATGGCATGTACAGCACACCGAATGCAGAAGCAGCCGTGAGGGCCCAGCTGGCTTCTATTGTGCCGGACTTGACAGAAATTTGCTAAAGTGTAAAATAATGACACTCTTCTGGGCCCGGCCCCGTGGCATAGCGGTTAAGTGCGAGTGCTCTGCTGCTGGCAGCCCAGGTTCGGATCCCAGGCGCGCACCAACGCACCACTTGTCAGGCCATGCTGTGGTGGCCTCTCACATAAAGTGGAGGAAGATAAGCACGGATGTTAGCTCAGGGCCAGTCTTCCTCAGCAAAAAGAGGAGGATTGGCATAGATGTTAGCTCAGGGCTGATCTTCCTCACGAAAAAAAAAAAAAAGACACTCTTCTCACTCAGGTGTTTTGTGTTGGAAAATATATTTTTCATAAAATATGTTATTTATGTTAATCTGTACTGGGTTTATTATTGCTACTTAAAAATGAATGTTATCTTTAAAAATGCTCAGTTTTTTTTTTTTGTTTTTTTTTTTGCTGAGGAAGATTGACCCTGAGCTAACATCTGTGACAATCTTCCTCTATTTTGTATGTGAGCCGCCACCACAGCATGGCTGACGAGTTGTGTAGGTTCGTGCCTGGGAACCAAACCTGGGCCACTGAAGCAGAGCATGCCAAAGTTAACCACTAGGCCATGGGGCCAGCCCCCACATTTTCAGTTTTAGTTTCTGATACGGCTTATAAAACAAAAATTAAAGCTCTTTGGTCTTCCCTAAGAATGAGACGAAGTCTTGAGACAAAAAAGCTTGAAAACCACTGAGTTAAGATATTTAAAGCTGAGAACAGAGCCTGGCATTAAATATGTTAGATATGATTATATACACCTGAGGACATATTTGCTTATCCAGATGCAAATACTCTGAGCGGCACACCACTCACAGAGTCGCTGAGAGAATCACACACACACCATCTGGGATCTCAGTTTCCCATCTGTGAAATGGGTGGGCTTCCCTGTGATATCTGCGCCCTTCTGCAGCTCTGATGGTACAGTCGGGAAGAAGTAGGGCAGCTTTGGGGCCAGGAGCGCATCAGGCTGGGCCCAGGAGAAGGCAGCTGGGGCCCTCTAGCATTTTGTAAAGGGCCCTTGACCAAGGTGTGGGGAACCCCAGGAGGGCGGGTGCAGCACCCCGGGGCAGGCAAAGCAGGGAGCAGTCACACCTGGGGCCTGAAGGGGGAGGGGAGGGAGCCTTAGGGGATCCTGAGACTGTGGAAGCTGGGACTTCATGGTCTCATATCCAATCCCCCGCCCCAGCCTGGCCTCGCAGCCTCTCCACTGCATCTGGTGTCCTTGGCCTTCCTCCACTTCAAAGACTCTTCCCAGTCAAAGCACGGAGGCCCCACCACTCCCAAAGCAGCCTGGGTGGAAGACAGGGAGAAGGACAGTACGTGCCTTTGGGAGGTGGGGAGCTCCCCGTCGCCAGGGGAAATCAAGGAGAGGGATAAGATTTTGGTGGGTACTGAGAGCCTGGGGGTGGTGTGTGTATGTGTATGTGTGTGTTTTTGGGGGGATTCCAATGACTTCCTAAACACTCTCATTTTTCTCTAATGGGAGTGGAGGGCATAGTTTTAAGGATGTGACTCCACGGCTCAAGTTCTAATTCTGGCTCCACTCGTGTGAGCTCGGGCAGCCGCCTTCACCTCTCTGTGCCTCGCCATCCCCGTCTGGAAAATGGGGATGGTCCAGCAGTACACCCCGATGAACGAACTACCGCTCCTCATGTCGATATCAATCTCAAAAATAGAATATTAGTGAAAGAAAGAAGTATTAGAAGAATGCTTACAGAATGAGCTCATTTTTATAAGGTCCAAACGCAGGCACAATAAAGGCTTTATTCCTTAGGGATGTGACTCTGGGTGCTAAAAGAATGAATAATAAATTAAGAGAATGGTTAATGGGAGATTTTAGAGTGTGGTTGAGTCCGGGACGAGAGGAAGAGGATGCAGTGGGTGGGCACAGGGACAAGGGACAGTAGCAGAAGTCTAATGTGGATGGTGGGCACCCGGATGGCCGTTTAATTATGATTATTATTTAATCCGGGCAGATGTGTTTTGTGCGATCTTTTGTTTGTATGATCTAGTTCACAACGACAATTAATAGGAAATGGGGAAGGGAGGTGTTAGCGGTTGAATTGTGTCCCCACCAAAGATATGTTGAAATCTAACCCCTAAGTACATCAGAATGTGACCTTACTTGGAGATGGGGTCTTTATAGAGGTGAGAAAGTTAAAACGAGGTCATAGAGTGGGCCCTAACCCAGTACAACTGGTGTCCTTATAAAAAGGGGGAATTGGGACACAGACACGCACAGAGGGAGAAGGCCGTGGCAGAGGACGGAGGCAGAGATCCGTGTGGTGCGCCTACAAGCCAAGGAAGCCCAAAGATTGCCAGCAAACCCCCGGGAGCTGGGAGAGGGGCAGGGAACAGATTCTCCCTCAGCCTCGGAAGGGGCCAAGCCTGCCGACACCTTGATCTTGGACTTCTGGCCTCCAGAACTGTGAGGCCTTCAATGTCTGTGGTTTAAGATCCCAGTTTGTGGTACTTTGTTATGGCGGCTCCCGAAAACTAATGCAGGGGGATGGAGAGTGACTGCTGATGGGCATAGGGTTTCTTTTTGGGAGATGAAAATCTTCTAAAATTGACTGTGGCGATGGTTCACAACTCTGTGAATACGCTAAAAACCACTTTAAAAGGGTAAAATATACGGCATGTGAAATATCTCAATAAAGCTGTTATTAAAAGATAAATAATGGGAAAACAACAGGACGTTCCTTCTAGGGTGGCTGCCAGCATTCAATAATTAATTCAACAAATATTTATTGTGCTGAGCTCTGTGAACCAGACAGACAGAAACCCCAGACCTCCTGGGGCCGACTGGCATGCGTGTGGCATGCTCAGCACTGTGTCTAGCACATGACAAGTGAGAGAGATGTTCTAGCCTTTATCACTGAGTGGGGCTGGTCCATCCTTCTCCCCTGAGGTGGCAGAAAATGGATTTTGTGAATCTTGGCATTCCCCAACCTCATTTCTCCAAAGGCACTCACTCACTTATTCATTCAACAAACATGTATGAAACAAACCTGTATGAAAACATGTATTAAAAAAAGGCAAAATAAACAACCCTCGACTGCCAAAGAGACTGTAAATGATGTGAAAAGATTAGTACCAGGATGAGGAAAAAAATATGCAAACTGTAAGAGACAATGGATTAGTATACTTCATAAATAAAGAACTCCTGCCAATCAATAAGAAAAAGGCAGACGACCCAATACAGCAAATTCAGTGGGGAAAATGGTCAATACACACAGCGGCAAATCACAAAAGCAGCATCAATGACAAATAAGCATATGAGAAGGTGTTAACCCGTAACAGTAATCAAAGAAATTGAAATCAATAAGGCAACAAATCATCCTTCTTTGCATATAGATGGACTTAAAAAAACAAAACACTGATAGTCTCCAGATTTAGTGAAAATTTGAAGAAATGGGTCCTTTTGTAAGAAGGTAACTTGGTATTGGCAAGGGGAGATTTATTTTGCATCTTATAGCCTTCAGAATTCTTAAAAATTTTTTTTACCATGTATGCATTTAACTAGAATATATAAATAAATGCATAATGCAATTCCTCAATCCTAAAAAATGTAGGAATACCCACTATTGCCAGGGGCTGAGGAGACCTCCGTGAACAAGACAGGCAAGGTTCTTATGTGTGTGTGGGAGCAAACACTAATAAACAAACAAATTAATAAGATGATTTTGACTAATACTGAGTGCTGAGAAGGAAGTAAAATGGGAGGAACGTGGTTACAGAGGCAGGGAAGCCTTCCCAGGAGTGGTGACATCTGCTGGGAAACCTGAGGTGTGAGAAGAATCCATGTACCGGGCCGGCCCCGTGGCTTAGCGGTTAAGTCATGCTGTGGCGGCGTCCCATATGGAGTAGAGGAAGATGGGCACGGATGTTGGCCCAGGGCCAGTCTTCCTCAGCAAAAAAAAAAAAAAAAAAAGAGGAGGACTGGCATCGGATGTTAGCTCAGGGCTGGTCTTCCTCACACACACAAAAAATAAAAAATAAAAATAATAAAGCACAAGGGCCGGCCCCATGGCCTAGTGGTTGAGTGCATGGCACTCGGCTGCTGGCGGCCCGGGTTCGGATCCCGGTCGCCACGGATGCACCGCTTGTCAAGCCATGCTGTGGCGGTGTCCCATATAAAGTAGAGGAAGATGGGCACGCATGTTAGCCCAGGGCCAATCTTCCTCAGCAAAAAAAAAAAAAAAAAAGGAGGATTGGCATGGATGTTAGCTCAGGGCTGATCTTCCTCTCACACACACACACACACACACACACACACACACACAC